CACGCTGGCTTCTTTTTTGTGGGCGGACGCATTGACTTAACACCTCTAAGAAAGAAGGCCGTAGCGCTCCGAGTGGTTACATCACAATGTCGGAGAAGGAAGGCCATGGTGCAACTACATAAAAAAAAATATCACATCGTCGTGAAAAACATTTTTCTTGTCAAGCGGCACGGTGGGGTTTGTGCGCGTTTATCCGACATTAATGTCTTAAAAGTGCTGTCTTGTACAATTTATTATATATATATAATATAAATGTAATATACAATGTGCTACCAAGGTTGAAAGTACCAATTTTATATTCATGATTACCCCTATAACTGCGGGACTATGTGCAGTCCCGCAGCTCCCCACAACTTTCGAATGAACCAGTTCGGTGAGACATTTCCATCTTCCCTCCAACGGCTCCGATTCTGGTAAATGTATGTTGTGTGCGAGCTGCAGACTGTCTGAAAAGGAACGCTGGGACTTTCAGAAGGGAAGAGAATGGAAAAAAATCAAGTCATCGCCGCGGGGAGCGCACACGAGCAAGAGATGGGCCGACAACGTTAAGCCTCCCACACTGCTCCGCTGCTCTCGTGTGAGGTTCTTTTGATCCTTGTTCCCGACGTTTTTCTGTCGTCACCGCAGTCTCGGGTAGTTTTTGTGTTCGCTTGATCCTACGGCATTTACGTGGATTCGCGGAACAAGTCCTGCTACTGTTTGAGTGACGTGTGTGGAAACTAGCCAACAATGACACTGGTTGATTATCGATAGACCTCTCGAGATCTCGACTAAGAGGGACTTCTTGGAGCTTGTCTTCAAATGTTTTCGTGCCAGATATTGTGGGACATATGGATACGATCGACAGGTGAGAAACAACTTATTTACGGGCTTTCTTGGTCATGTGGGACGCAAGTAAGTGCTGCAGTCTTTCTTTTAAAATTTTGTGATAGAGTGGAATTTTGTTCTTTGTCGCTATCCGTGTACAGTGGCGTCGACATTTGTAAATATGCGTTGTAACATTCTAGTTTTCACTGGAAGGTGAATGACAAGTTTGTGCGATCATACAAAATGCATTTTTTGTGGTTTCGTGTTTGCTGATACTAATGACATTTTATTGCCTTTACCGCATTTATACCAGGACCTTAACTGTATTACGGCAATAGTATTATTGTATACAAAAGAAGTTATATTTTGTTTACATGATTGTAAGTGACCCTTCTCTAGCTGTGTCCACGTTGACTACGTCCACCTGATCTTTAACTGATCTGTTTTGCTGTGTCCACTCACTGCGTGTCTCACAATTTCGTTGAAGCGTTTCTGTATAAATTATGCATTCCTACAACAATTGCGTGACTCAATGTTTTCAACTTAAAACAATCTCTTTGTATAGGCGTCTTATACGCATACTTCGTGCCATTTTGTACCGATTATTTAGCGATGTAATGCTTTGCCCGTGAAATACAATGTTTTCTAGACCCATTGTTATGGGCAGCTTTCATTTTAGCTAACAAATCACGCTTATGTGACTAAAATCGCGTTACAACAATCGACCCACGCGCGTTGCCTTCGCTTCGACGTGCGCCCCCGATGGCCTTCATTTGCGACGTCACGAGAGGAGCGCTACGGCCTTCTCTTCTGGGAGGTGTTGGTCGACCGCCCGGAACAAAAAAAAAAAAATCTCTTTTGCGCAGGGAGCAGGGGGAGGGCGCTCCATGGTTCCTCTTCCGACTCCGTCCACAAAAGAGAATACTGCCTTTTCTTCCGAGAAGGTTGAGGCGGCCGCCCGAAAAAAAAAAAGCCAGCTTGCTCTGCTAGCTGGCTTTCCCCCAACGCAGCTGCCTGCCTTAGGGGAAAGCCAACTTGCAAAGCGAAACGGAAGCTCTGCAGGTGCTACTGCTCGGACGTGCTCCGTGCCCTCGGCATAGTTCGGCCCTAATGTGCGAATATAGAAGGCAGCGGCCTCAATTTCGGAGTCCATCGATAGCGTAGAAAAATATTGTTATTGCGGATGCAATGAAGAAAAAGCAGCAGAAGATGCAAGACTATTTCATTGTGTAATATTTCAGCAGAAAGTGGATTTTTGAGAGTCAAATTCATTAATACTTCTAATTGAATAACCCGCTATATCGAACTGGCAGACGTTTTCTTGCGAGTTTGATGTAAACGAGTTTGACGTATAGTGGATTTTGAGTTCAAAACGAATTTAAAGTGAATATTTTTTTCTGTTGAATAGTTTTGAATTTAATATTGTTATAGTTTTTACAAGCCTTCCACTACTGTACGATACTTAAATAGAAACCCTGCAGGTTGCTGCCGAGATTTCACTTGTACTCTCCTAAGTCCTTATTTTAATACGTAACTCATATTTATAAACTGCGGCATCTGAACAAGAAATTTGTTGCAGATATTCTAGTCAAGAGGATTTTTAAATCTGCTCGTTATATGCAAATATTTTGTATTCAATATAAAGTATGAAAAAAAAAAGGAGCATGAATGATGAACGTATGTTCTCAAGGCCTCTTTTGCCTAACCCAGACATTGTTTCTCAAAATTAATGAACTTCTAATTGCAAGTTTTAGAATGTGTCCAAATTTGTGCGTTTCAAAGAAATGGCATCGTCGTAATGCGCCAATCCAGACAAGGTCTAGGCTTGGCACATGCGCACTGGTGACGACGCTATTTTTGCTTCCGCAAGGCTTTTGGGTACTCTAGCCTATAATTGCCTAAAACTATTACTTAAGGTATTCACATCAAACTTGATCACATCAGTCATGCTCGTGAATGCAAGTGACAACCTAGCTTTTCATAATCTACACCTTTTTGTGTCTAGAAATTTAGTTTTTTATCCAAAAGTGTTTTTTGTATTCCTTCATACACAAACTCAACTCTGTTACGTCACAGTGCGGTGGTGGCGCTTCGGGCACAATTCCGGTCTGGGGCTGTGGGCGGAAGTCCCCGTGCGAGACGTGTATTCCTGCGTTGTTTTGAAAGGAACCTGACAAAAACCCGCTTTCTCGTCAAAACATCACGACTGGGGCTGTACTAAAAGAGTCTAGAAAGGTTTGAAGGTTAGTTCTCATGTGCTCGGTTCGTTCGAGAACGTGGATATGTGCCGTGAAAAGGGAAAACCAGATGCCGTCGGACCACATCTGCTTGGGCGGGAAGCACTTCGGGTTGAATTCACGAATACTGGTGGTCATCAATTTATTCTTTTGTTCCCACATGAATGCCAAAAAACCGTCATGTTGTACCGACCATTGTATAATGACTATGTTCAGTGCGTCTTCAAGTTCAAACGGCCGCCTGATCATTCGAACTATCGTCTGCTGTCTCAGACAATTCTGCTTGTCTGCTCTTTTAGAAGACACCGGCCCGAACATCAAATGTTGATGCCGTACTTGCGATAAGAAGTAAGTGCAGCCCTCAAAAGACTTAAATTTGAAACTTGGTAAGCAGGCTTCATGTAAACAGTAGATACAAAAAGATGTTCATCATTGTTACCAGTGGCCATCACCAACTTGTTATGCCTAATTCACTTGGTCCGATTCTGCTTGCGATTTTCAGTATCGGCGTCGACCATCTCAGCTACGGTTCACGCTGTTGCAGCCCGAGTGACTTCGCGACTGAAAATTGCGAGCGAAATCTCATCATGCGAATCAGGCTTTAGCGTACATTCTGCGGCGTCCACGCGGAATGAATCGCCGCATGCCACATTATTCACGCGAAGTTTTGCGGTGTAACGAGCCTCGGTAATCTCCCTGAGGCCGCTCAAGTAGTCAGGCATCGCAAAAACGACGTAGAATCACCAATTCGAACGCCAAAAAGGGCACGGGGACTCACACCGACAACGACAACATCGCATTCCAATGGTTTGTTTATGGGCGACGGCGAGCTTCTCGCCCACACTCCATCGCGCATGCGCGGCGCCAGTGGCGCTACAGTTTGTAAATATGAACTGGTGTAAACTATAATTTAGGGAATGACATATAAAATATCAAGCAAATAAAAAAATGTCAACCATTTACCTACTACTCAGTTTCATCTGAAATGACCCATTACCATGGTGTTAAGAGAGTTCAGCCTTCAGTTGTGTGGTGTAAACATCAGCCAGTGTGCAACGGTATTACAAATACCAGAGTCACCACTTGCGCGAAGGCATGATGTTGCTCCAATGACACTGCCTAGCTTTCTGCTTCTTCGTCCATTTATCATTTTCTTTTTAGACACAGCCTGCTATTGTTTTACCCTCGCCATGCCCGCCATCAATTGGGGCATAAAATTCATAATGTTTCCTGTTCATATGTTCGTTATACCTTACAATACAACACAGACCATGCTACAGGCCACACAAGTCAACTCAATGTAGTGACCTCGGAGAGAGGCGCTGTGATGTGTTGTCACTTGATGCGCTAAGTTGCCCGAGACAGCTGGCAACGGCCGCTACAATCCATTGCACTTACAAACGGAGTATAGTGACTTCTAGATAAATTATTTGAATCATTTTGTCAACTCCCTACATGCACTAAAATACTACTTCGAGAAATTAGCACAGTTGAGAGCAATCAACCAAGCACAGCACCCCGAGGACTGATGCACCACAAAGTTCAGTTTCCATAGGCACTACCAGACACATCACAGATAAAAAAAAATATAAATAAAAAAACATTTTTTTGTATGATGCTTTGTGGTGCCTGGGAGATAATGCGACCAACTATGGCCACTGTGGATACGGTGCTCGAGTAACCACTAGTTGTTGAGACACAGCACCTCCAACAGAAATTGACTGCAACAGACCCGGCAAAACCGTTATTTCTTTATTTTAAGACAATAGAATACAACAGGTCTTGGTGGTGGATTCTGAATTACATGTTTCTAAGTGTTCAATAACGAAAATGAAAAAAAAAAAAAAATTGAGGATGACAATATCTTTGAATTCTCACAAAAAAATTGTTTGACTTTTTCTATATTTAAAAACACTTCTGAGCATGCATAAAAATATTTACGTTTCGCGAAGTTTTATTACCCTGTGGAGCTCGAAGATATGTTAATGCGCAATTGGGAAAATCATATTTCCACCTCCTCAGACGCAATTTATTTTAACAAAAACATTAAAGGTCTTTTTGTAAAAGTAGGTCTATTCCATTGCAAGGACATATTTTGCTAGCTCCTATAAAATCTTAATTGAAAACAAAAAATAGGCACGACATTATTGTCCTATCTTAACATGTTGCCCCATTTGTTTTTATCGCCTTCCTTGTTTCTGTTAGACTCTACACATTGGCCGGTTCCCCAATTCCCCATTCTTGGGTCAGGCTCTGTTGATGCACTGTTTAGTTAAATTAAACTATTATTGCTACATGAAAGTTTTATGAGTCTGTGCTTTGTCAGACACATGTCTATATTTCCTGTTTACAGTGTAACAGTTACACTTGCGGCTCACCCGGACCGTGTCGCTTGCTCCAGTGCCGCTACAAGTCATGCCTTCATAGTGCCTTGTTTGGAAGACTTCAATGTCATGGGTGCCTTGCGACCACGGCTTCTAGAAAAAAAAAAAACACACAATTAATTGCCTGCACGCAGAACACCAAAGAAAAAAATCAAACCTCTGGGTATCTAATGCCTGTCAAGAATATCAATGTAACCTGTGCTTTAGTGCACATTCTATATACTCTGTGCATTAGTTGTAATATGGGGAAGAGAGCAGATGCTGTACAGAGATGTTGTCCACCTAAAGTAGGTTTAAAGTATGTCCCTTACATCTATCACTTGCTTCATGCAGTTAAGCATGTTATGTACGAACCAAGATTGAATATGATATTCAGTCAATTTCCGTGCAAACGACATAAACAATCACGTGCCTCTGTCAAGTGGCAAATTTGAATGCAAGCTCTGCTAGGTACATATATATGTCTCGTCTGGTTGAAATTAATCACAGGAGCTCACTCTTAAGAGACATTGCACAATTTCAGGTTGTCCGAGCCATGCAGCTTGCTCCACCTTACGTATCATTGCGCAGCATGTTAGTAACATGACAGCCTCCTTGTCAACGCTAAAGTCATTTTCCTCGTTTGAGGTTTTTTGGCAATGCTTATTCCACAGCCTACAGCCCTAAAACTTGAATCTCTATCATATTGAGGGCTATATCACTCAGCTTGCATCCACCCCCTTCTACAGGCTGCAACCACAGAGGCATAACATAAACAGATCCAGTCCCTATAACACCAAAAAATATTGAACGGTTCCAATTGCATTGCTGCATCAATAGACCCATTTTCTGAAAGTCCACACAAGGCACACTAGATCTTGTAAAGAGGTACAGTAGCACAGCCAAAAATAATTTACGTCCCCACTCACCCCTCCCAATATTAATTAGCACAGTACGCTGTGTAATACGCTACTTTCCACTTACAGTATGGGTGCATGTTCTGGTGTAAGTCATCGCACCAGTAATAGGCAAAATAAAATTGCCCATAAAACCGCATATCGAGTGGAACCTTGATTAAGCATTTCCAGTTTATTCAACGTCCTGCATTTTACTATAATTTAGCGCAGGTTTGTCAAAGTGCTGTAATTATTGTCGTTTTGGGTAATACGACTCCGGGTTCATTATTTGACACTTTCGCGCGTTCCCATAAATGTTGTATAATGAATGTTCCACTGCATACGGTCTAAACTTCCAAGGGGGAGGGGGGGGTACTGAAGTTTCATGAGTAAAGCACTGCGGATGCACCAAATGCCCAAGAACTACCCACGGTTATGCCCAGTGAACTGGCAGGTGCGGATAAAAATAAATTAGATTTGGCGGATTGTGAATTGGATGCAGATGTCATGGGCTACAGGCGCGGATATCCGTGGGTCCGGATCTATATTTTTGTCGAGGGGGCTCTCAAGCGTGAGTTATCGCAGAGCGAAGGGAATAAGTGAGTAATTCTACAAAGTGCATTATGGAATGTTTGGCAGGAAAAAAATTACTCTCTCAGAAAAGGAGTGCCAATTTGGGAGAAAATATTTCTTTACACTAAGACCTGAGTCTTATCAGAGATTGGTTTAGAGTGTTCTGCGTCACCAAACCTGCTGTCCCTACAAAAAATAAAGAATGTAGGGGCATCAATTGCCTTGGGAAAGTGTGTTCTTGTCTGGCACGAAAAGAGTGGAAAACATTCTTTGGGCAAAGGAAACTCAAAACGTACAAGCCACAAAAAAGTAGAAGCCCCAGTCGTGTAATCGCGTCTTACCACGCATATACCAGTGCTTCTCTGCAAAGAGTGACCGCCTTTCCTCGCACACTTTTTTTTATTTTTTAAAGGGACACTGACAGGGTATTTATGCTCGCCAAGGTTTTTAGTTGTACGTGACATATGAGAGCTCAACTACCCAGAACAGAATTTGCGGCTCAAAATTCGGTTTCTTTCCGCCCGAAAACCGCCGATCAAGAACTGGCCGGTTCGAGTCTCGCTCACTCTCCTTTCCGCGGTCACGGGCCGTTTTCTAAGGTATCGATGCGACCACCAAATTTAATCAAAGTCGTGGGTCACTGAAGGCACACACTCAATATTAAAAATAGAAAAAAAATATGAAACCCATTTTTTGTGGCTTCTAAAAAGCTGTAAATACGTTGATTGATAAAAAAAGTTCCACAGACAACCGGAAGCATTCTGTGCGTTCGTCGTTTCGCGTATCGTGGGACTCGCGGGGACGGCGATGGCAGCAGACGACGGGCATGGGACCTCTATTTCAGAGCTGTCGTTTGCGGTACCGGCGAATTCTGTCTACCGTTAAAAGAGAAATTAGGGACTGATCAAAAGAATTGGTATTCATCCCGTACGACACGCCCGGCCACCAAGCAGATTTGCACGAAGACGTCGCCGAGCCGTCGCTCCCTTCTCGTGGCTGAAGACATCGCTCGCGCAAACGTCAAGCACGACGTGTCTACTTCGAGTTGAATATGCACGCGTACGATTTCTTTACTACGTGCGAATGTCCCCAAAGCGTGGTGCTTCCCGACTTCGACCCGGGAGTGCTTTTGCTAGAGAAAAATCGACAGCAAACTTTCCAACTTACAGTTTACCGGCTGAATTATTACTAAGAAAAGAGATCCACCAGAAGTGAGATGTGCCAGTAGCTCAGTGGGAAAGACGTCCGGTTCACACGCGTTAGGTCTGGGATCGATCCCTCGTGTAGCTCTATTTTTTTTTTAACATTTTCCGATGTTTACATATCTTTTTCTTTTTTTTTTTACAATCATCACTGAAGAAACAAACAAAAGTTGTGGACGATACTTCGCTGAATTAAATGGTATGGGATTTCCGTTTTGACACCTGCGAACTCAATGTAATCACTTTCCACAAAATACGAGGAGCATATAAATCAGGTAGCGTCCGCTTTCCGAGGTGCCCGTATATGTTCTACAGGAATTGCAGCCAGCCATTGGTCCCGATCCCGTTGATCTTTCGGAAACTCTGTCGCACAATGCCACTTTTTTTCGGATGCAGGACATGTGAGCCAGCTCTTCACGCAACATCTTGGGTGTATTCTTTTCGGAGCCGATCATGGAAATTCACCACGGGCACCTACTACTCATCCTCCAACTCCTCAATGTACAAAACAACTCATCTTGGAGTACAAAACAACGAGCGGAACAAACATAACTGCAAAAGAATCGCACGGCGAGCAGTTCCCGCACGCCGCATAGCACACCGCATGTCGTGTCGTCTGCTATGGAGAGGAGAAAACAAAAACAAAAACGCACGGTCGGGTGTAGCCACGTGACTTCCGCCACTCACCCTCTTCTCTCCACTTCTCCGACCTCCGTCGGGTTTCGGTTTCGATTTCGAGCAGTTGCGTCTTTTGGCTATATTAAACAAATACGCTACTCTGTTGCAAAATATTAATTGGGTAGTCCTCCGACACCATAATAAAGCGCCTGGCAAAAAATAAAAAAAAATTTTGGGGGCTGTCAGTGTCCCTTTAACTTAAAAGGCACCTTCAAAAAAGAAAATGTAGGAGGGACACGCAGGTAAAAAACAAATTTAACATGAACAAAAAAAATTTTTTTTAGAGGCTGGTACACATGTACAGCACAGAGCTGATGAACCTAATTTAGCACTAATTCACCACTGTGTATCACTGGTGTAGGACAAATGTAAGACTGCATAAACAAGATCAGCATTACAGTATAGACCACTTATAACGTAACCACTTATAGTGCAGGACCGGGTATAACGCGACTTTTTTAAACCACCGGTTCGCCTCCCATAGGACTCCATGTAATTACATACCACTTAAAATGCAGGCGCGAAGGGAAATACTGGTTATAGTGCGGTTTCTGGAACAGCGCGCCGATTGCCCTGCGCAGCCAGCACGCTTCCCTGTGCGACACTAGATAATGGCGCTAGCCTGGCTAGCCGCAAGCGGCACTCGCGGGGCAAAGAGGTTGCTCGAAGTCGTGGCTCCAAGAAGCGAAGAGAGAGGCTTCAGTTGCCATACCGACGAAGGGACGCACGCACGTGTCGTTCACGTGCGTGCGTTGGAAACAACCGCAACGACAGACCAATTGCAGGTTGGGGAGAACTGTTAGAGCGCGTTGCATGTCAGTCGCGGGCCGGCTTCTATCCGCAAACATGGCGTCGGTTGCGATCGTTCCACGCAAAAGCACTATCCTTGACTGTGAATTTTCGTTGTGTGCCGCTATGATAACCCAGCACGTACTAGAAGGGGAGATCCACCTACTCGTGCGGCGATGTCGTGGCGGCACTCTCAAGACGGCAGAAACGCCTGTGTCGTTGTGTTTGTTTACTTCGACTACAGTGGTGCTTTCTAAGCATTTGTGTTTTTGAACATCGCCCGGATTTCTTATCTGGAGCATTTCACGCCTGTGCTAAAGTTGAAGGTATTACTGGCGCGTACCGTATAAAGGATGCGAATTTTCACGCGTCTTCATTACCGGAAAAAAGTGATTAGGGTTAGCAATCCTAACGCTTGCAACGTCCGTCCGCAACCAGCGACGCCGTTAAAAGGCTGCGCCAGGCAAAAGTCGCTCATTTCTTTCAAAATTGACACACTTAAAAGAGAAGTGTACAAGTCTGGTGAAATAAAGACTCCTCTTCGACTAACATAAAATAAATTTTTTTTTTTTAAGGTAAGTTGTCTCATGGCATGTATTTTGGCCTGAAAAATTGATGTTTTCGTTATAACGCGGTACCGCTTATAGTGCAGATTTTCGCGACTCCCGCGTTTTACGTTATATGCGGTCTACACTGTATTCCCAGGTCTTGACTAATAGCCCTAATGTAGAGCTGTGGTTGTATGTGTAAACAGGCCTTACATAATATCTTTTTTTCACTATTACCTTGAAGGTTTCACAACTGCGGTGATGCGATTGGCCTAACCCGTTTTGGAGCACCTTTCGGAGCAGCCAAAACAGTGTTTTGGAGCAGCAAAAGTGGCCTTTGCAGCAGCCAAGACAGTGTTTTGGAGCAGCAAAAGTGGCTTTTGGAGCAGCCAAAACAGTGTTTTGGAGCAGCAGAGGTGACTTTTGGA